CTCCGCCGCCGCTCGAGGCACCCACGGCGGGCGCCGACATGCCGAGCTGGACCTGCGCGCTCAGCAGCCAACCCCCGACGGCAACTCCCTTGAGCTCATCGAAGCCACGCGCGGGACCCTGCGGCGCCGCGCTGCGCTTTGGCCCCCCTTCACTCGGTCGCCCAGGCCCCGGGCGCTCTGGCTGCCAGACCGCGACGGCGAGGGCCAGTTCGTCAGCGCCCGGGCCGACGCCCTGAAGGAGCTCAAGTCCCTCTGGGCGCCCAGCATACAGAAGTGTATTATTGGGCTCTCCCTGGCCCAATGATGCCTCGATGCTCGTCCGCTGATCCTAGCGTTTCCTGCCCTCGAAGAAGTTCGGCCGCCCGACGCTCGCGACCTTGCCCGTGCTGCCGCGCGCGCGAGACCGTCTGCGCCAGGTCCTGATGGCCTCCCCATGCGATGCCTGGCTGCGCCGCGGCAGCTCGCGCCCTTCTGAGGACTTGGCGCTGGTCCGCGACGAGATGACCATGGCCCCCCCTCAGCCGATGGACCTCAACGACCACCTCGCGGCCTTCCCCCCGAAGGTCTCGGACAGGGCGGCGACGCCATCAGCGGCCCGACGCGCGCGGCCGCCATTGCCGGTCTCTCGGCGCTCAAGAATTCAGATGCGAAGCTGATCGCGGCGGCGACCAACGCCCGAGTGAAGCGCGTCCTCGCCGAGGGCCCCCCGCAATCGCAGAGCGGCTTCTTGGCGGGCCGCGACTTTTTGAACGGCGCCACGCTCATGGGCGCCCATGCGCGCCTGATCGGACTGAAGCTTCATCGCGAGCTGCGTCGGCCACTCATGGTGCTGTTCGACATCGGCAATGCCTTCCCTGCGCTGGCCCTTTCCTTCCTGCTGGCGGCGCCGCGCAGGGCGGGCTTCCAGGGCAGCCTCTTTGGCCGCATCGCAAGCATGTACTTCATGCCGGGAGCCTCGCACTCATCGAGGGTGTGCCCCACCGCCCCATGCCCCTCATCGCTGGCATCGCGCATGGCTGCCCGCTCTCGGGCTCGCTGTGGCCTGTCGCGATGAACCCCGCCGTGGCCCACCTCTAGAAGACTTTGTCCGCCTTCTGCGCGTCTGCCCCGGGCGTCTGCGCCGACGACGCAGGCGCTGTCCTCGAGGGCAGCCGCGCCCTGCTGCGCGCATGGAGGGCCTCGCGGGCGGCGTGGGAGGTAGCGCGCCTGGCGCGCGAGATCTCCAAGCGCAAGGTGGCCCCACTCTGCGGGCCCCTCTTCCTGGAGCTCGCCCAGTCCACCGCGGCGCCGTTGGCCCCTGCTACCGCGAGCTAGGCGGGCATATCTGTGGCCCCGCATGCGGAATACATTGGCGTCGCCCTTGGCTCCGGCACCACACCTGCCATCATGCGGCAGAAGCCGGGCGAGAAGTGGGCGCATCGTGTCCACGAGTTTGCTTGAGCTGGTGCTCCAGTTCACCTGTCTTGTACGCTCTACAACTCCAGGATGCTGGGTGTCCTCTCGCACATCATACAGCTGGTGCCGCTGCCCAATTTCCTGCTGAAGCTCGAGAGCTGGACTGGGCATGCAGCTTTTGATATGATGCCTCAATAGATCTCTCGTTCTGCTCCTCTTGGGCTTGGCAGCTGGTCATCGATTCGACCCGGGAGCTTGGCGGTCGCGAGTCTGGCTTCCCGTGCGCGAGCCACCCTCTCCACCTTCGCGATCTGGAAGCGCCTCAACGTCGCCCTCTTCGATGCCGCGCAGGAGTTCGGCTCGTTGCGGTAGGCGTGCAGGGGCTGGAGCTCGCCGAGCCACTGGCTCATGCGTCCGATCGCCACGCGCATCGGCGACGCTGCGTCGGCCAGCTTCCCCGACCGTGAGCAGGCTGCCGGGGCGTCAGCCGCGCTCGCTGCCTTCGCAGCTGGAGTGCCAGCGGGGTGCGAGCGGCGACCTCAGAAATTCCTCTCCTCGTTCCTGCGTGCCTCCCTCCACCCTGACTCTCTCGCTCCTACCCCATCGCCAGGCTTTGTCTGTCCTGGGGTGCCCCTCTCTCAGAGTCGTTGCGGGAGGCTCTCAGAGACCTCAACAGATCCCCGATCATCCGCGACCGCCCAAAGCCGGGAGCGAGGTAGCAGAGCCGGTCGTTATTGGAATACGGGAATCCAGGGATTGATTCCGGTATCAGGAGTCACGCGTGCACGGTTGAATCAGCGTGCAAATTCCGGTAATTCGTTATTGGATTCGGGTTCAGCGATACTGGATTTCGGCGTCTCGTCGCTACCGAAATCCTGCGCCGTCGTTGCCGAAATTTGGCAGCAGGAATGCCGAAATCCGCGCCTGGTTCGTTACCGAATGTCGCGTTCGACGATACCGAATTCTGCGTCGCAGTCGATACCAGAATTCGGGTTGCCAATACCGAAATTCAGAGATCATGAGCAGGGGCGTTTTTCAATTACTTCGAGACGGCGTCAAAACCGGGATCCGGTCGCGACCTGAAATCGACAGCCCAGACATCCGTTACCGAGTTAAGCCGGTCCCAGATGACCTGGGATTTGGAGGCCCCCCAGCCCGGCAGAGTGCGGTATTCAAAATTGCTGTGCGAGGCTGGCTCACAACTGCTCGCCTTCCACAGTTAAGACTTGCGCCCCTGTGGAGGCTCGTGCGCCATCCTTTTGGCCCTCCTGCTTGCCTCCTCGAGCGGGGCTCAACGGCAGCCCGTCGCCCGAGGCAGTTGCGCGACTCGTGCGTGCTTACCAGATCTACAGTCCTGCACGCACTGGCCCCTCCCTCTCCAGGCCCACTTGAGGCCCCAGAGAGTCATCGCTACAAAAATTTACCGTGCCGCTGGGGCATTTGTAGGCCACTCCAGAGCGCCCTTCGAGGCATCGCTTGGACCCTACAGTTACCCCTCGGGTTACGAGCGGTGTGCATGCCTGTGTGTGTGTGTGTGTGTGTTTGTGCTCCTCTCCCTCTCCTGTTTTTCTCCCCGTCTCTTCCTCCCTCTCTCTCTCTGTTTCTGTTTTGCTCTCTGACATCCCCTCCGGCGCAGGCTTGTGAGGTCTCGAACAGACCGCCAAAGCGGCGCGGGGGTGGAAAGGCCTCGCCCCAATCACTTTTCAAGTGTTGGGGTCGGCCACCACCCGTATTCGCTGCTCGCAAACGACGACTGCGAGTAGCGGCGCCAGACGACGACGACGACACGACGACACGACGGCGACGACGACGACGACGACGACGACGGCGGCGGTGACGACGACGACGACGACGACGACGACGACGACGACGACCGAGGGCCCACGACGAACGACAAACAACGCACGACGACGACGACGACGACGACGACAACGACGACGACGACGACGACGAGGACGACGACGACGACGAGGACGACGAACCACGTATATCGACGACGACGGTTGTGACGACGACGACGACGACGGACGACGGGCATTGGACGACGGTCGACGACTGCGACGACGATCACGAACGACGGGCGACGGACGACGATGGCCGACGGACGACGGACGACGGACAACGGACAACGGACGACGGACGACGGACGACGCCGTCGACGAACGACGGGCGACGGACGACGAGCTACGGTCGATGACGACGACAACGGGCGACGGATTACGACGATGACAACGGACGACGACGACAGGCGACGACGACGGCGCCAGCGGCGACGACGACAACGGCCGGCGACGACAACGACAACTGCGACGACCACGACGGACGACGACAGACGACGACGACAACAGACGACGACGACGACGACGACGACAGACGACGACGACAACGACAACGACGAGGTCGACGACGACAGACGACGACGGACGACGACGACGACGACGACAGACGACGTCGACATCGACAACGACGACGACGAAGTCGACGTCGACGACGGCGACGACGACGACGACGACGACGACGACGACGACGACGGGGGCGGGCAAGCGGGATGGCGGGTCGTCAGGCGGGCGGACCCTGACGGGCGGGTCGGGTCGGCCGGGCGGGTCGGTCGGGACATTGCTATATGAGAGTCCTAACGGGCGCGTCGGGACGGGCGAGCGGGACACCAGAGAGAGGCGCATGATCGAACGTACATGCAAGAACCCTAACGAGCGTGTCGGGTCGGGCGGGGGGGAGTTTAAAGTATGGCGCAGAATCGAGTTGGCACGCGAGGACCCTAACGAGAGGGTCCCGTTTTCTGTGTTCGGGGGCTGGGGGGCGGTTTCGGGCTGATTCGTTTCGGAGACACTCTTGAGACTCCCAGAGCCCAATCTACTTCAAGCGCCTTCCTACTTCAAAAACCGATATGCTGTTGCTGAATTGTGTTCTTCTCTGGGCGGGCCCGAACACAATCTACTTCATACACCTTCCTACTTCATGTGTTATCTACTTCTGAAGACCGACGTGTACGCTTTAGACGAGTGGTCGTTGAACGCGCTCTCTCTCTCTCTCTCTCCCTTCTCTCTCTCTCTCTATCGCTATCTATCTCTTCATCTCTCTCTCTCTCTCTCTCTCCCGCTCCCTCTCTCTATATCTTCTCCTTCTCCCTCTCTCTCTCTCTCTCCCTCTGTTTCTGTCTCCGCTTCTCTCGACTGCCACAAGGCCTCGCCAACGTCTGCGCTTCGCTTCGGCCTGCCTGCCCGCACCGCCGGTGGCTCTGCATTTGCATCCGTCTCGTCGCCCGTCCTTCCCTCCAGGTGGTTCACAGATGGGGTCCTGAGGGATGGGGTCCTAGGGGTAGGAAGGGATCCACTTCGATGAGGCACCTCGGTCGTAGGTCTTAGGACCAGTACTCGAGCTAAACGGTGTTTGGGCGATTTCGTGGACAGTGTTCGTTTCAATTTCGTTTTCCGTAGCAAAGGCAGAACGAAGAGAGAACGAAGGACAACGAAAGCAAATCAACAACGAAAACATTGTTCAGTTCGAGCTCTGCTTATAGGACCCCATCCCTCAGGACCCCATCTTGGCGTCACCGACCCCTCCTCGCTGCCTCGCTCTCCCGGCAGGCCCGGGACGCTCAGCGCCACCTGTCCGAGGATTGCCGGCGGGGGCCGATGAGCGGTCGCCCCGGTTGCACGTCTGCCAGCGTGCTCTCGGGGCCGGGAGGGGGCAGGGCGAGATGTGGAGGGCAGCACCCACGACGTCGAGGCTCGAACTTCGAGGCTCAGATGTGTTGTGCGCTTCTATTCTATAGGCTTACGCCACATACGCCGACCCCTGTATAGACCATTGCGCCTCCAGGGCTGCATTTCACGAGGCTTGTCCGAATCATGACACGGCGCTCGACACCGTTCCTGTTGCGTCGTTGTTGTTATCGTACCTCTCAGTGCTCTTTTGCTGCCTTTTGGTGGCATCTTGGCCTGTCTGCAGGCCATATCCGGCCGCCTCGAGGCATCGTGGGCCAAGTTTTGGGGCTTCTTAGGGGCTTCTTACGGGGCTTCCTGGGGGCTTCTTGGAGGCCTTTGAGGTTCTCTTGGGGGTCCCTCAGGGCCTCTCGGGGTGTTCTTGGGGCAGGCTGGGGGCGTCTTGGGGCCGAAGGCTCGAAAAGGTGCCCTCTGGACTCCCTCTTGGAGCCGCCTGGGGGCCCTCTCAGGCTGTCTTGTAGGCTTCGTGGGCTGTTTTTGGACCCTCCTCGACCCCTCTTGGGGGCCCCTTCGGCCGTCCGGGGGCGTTGTTGAAGGTTTCTTTGCCCGTCTTGGACGTTGTGAAAGCCGAAAAGGCGAGTATGCGAAACATGTTGTTGTTTTTTTTTCGAGGGAATAAGGCGTATTGTACTGGAGTGTATTGGACGCTTCGTGGGGTGTCTTGGCGGCCTCTTGGGCCGTTTTGAGCTCATCTTGGGCGTCTTGGAACGAGGTTTCGGCGACTTGGGGTTCTCGTGAACCGTCGTGGCGGCTTCTTGGGAAGCGTCAAGCGCTGTCGTGCAGCTGAAGAGCGATTCCAGGGAGCCCAGACCGCCCTGGGTGAGTTCGGTCCAGGGCTGGCCCAGGCCAGGGGGGGGTCAAAATCCCGGTTTGGGGTCCATGGGTGGGAACAGTCTCACACGCTTGGAGACCCACATGGGGTCGGCGGATTCCCGTTCGTTCCCCATGTGCTAAGATGTGATGTGTGTCATTATTCAGATGCCTGCAGAATAATAACCTTCCCTCCTTTCTCCTCCTCCTCCTCCTCCTTCTTCTTATTTTTGGATTTCTCTGATATTCTAGGCCTCCTACATGGGGTCGGAGTAGATGTGGTCGGAGGATAGCGCCGCATCGCCGATGCATCGCCGATGCGGCTCGCAGCCCGATGTGCTTCACGTCGACGTCGCTCATGCATCGCCGACGACCACGATGCGTCGCTGGTGCATCGCCGATGCATCGCCGATACATCAACGATGCAGCGCGATCCTCTGCCCCCATCTACTCCGACCCCATCCAGGAAAATCATAAAAGTAAATATTCAAAGTCAGATCATTCACGCCCATCAGAGGGTCCATCGCAGACCCACTCTTCTTCACGGGTTCCATCACAGACTCGCCCTTACTCACGAAGACTGAGCCACACCACTTCCTCCTTCAAACCCATTCAGATTCAGTCTCAGACCCACTCTGGGAATTAGCTTCAGACGCATTCTCATTCATACACATTTAGATTCTATCATTCCGACACTCTCGTTCTCGTTCGAACTCCCTCAGACCTTTCTGGTGGTCCAATGCTCACCGCGATACAGCAGGCGTGGCACTTGGGCACCCCAAGAGGGAGCCGCCAGGGGTGAGGACACTCCAAAACTCGCGCCCTGATTGCGGGGATGTCTCAGGCAGTGTGTTTGCTTCTGCCCCCCAACATCCTCTGCTGCCGGAGCAGATTGTAAGGATTTTTCTGGCGAGCGTTGGTTTAAACATTCCTACGGGGGGGGGAGGCGCCAGGGGTGAGGACATGGCACAACTCCCGCCTAGATTGTGGGGGTGTCTCAGGCAGTTTGTTTTTGTTCTGCTTTCCAGACTACTTCTCTCTTGCTGGTCCAACGCTCACTCCGATACAGCAGGCGTGGCACTTGGGCACGTCAGTGGGGGAGCCGCCAGGGGTGAAGACATTCCAGAGCTCGCACCCAGTTTGTAAGGATGTCTCAGGCAGTTCGCTTCTTTCTGGCATCCTAGAACTTTTCTCAGTGGCCCAATGCCCACCGCGATACAGCAGGCGAGGAATTTGGGCACCCAAGGGAGAGCCGCCACGGGCGAGAACACTTTAATACAGCTCGCGCCCTGATTGTGGGGATGTCTGGAGCGGCTTGCTTGTTTCTACCCCCAGACGCTGCTCTTTCGGTGGTCCCATATTCACCGCGAGACAGCAGGCGTGGCACTTGGGCACCACAAGGTGGAGCCGCCACGGGTGAGGACACTCCAGGGTTCGCCCCCAGATTGCGGGGAGGTCTCAGGCGGTGTTTTTTGCTTCTGCCCCCCCAGACTTATTTGGTTGTCTTCATTCTGCTCCCAGCGATATAGCAAGTGTGGCACGTGCACACCCCAACGGGGAACCGCCAGGGGTGAGGACACCCTGGGATTCGCGCCCAGATTGCTGGGAAATCTCAGGCTGTTTGCTTTTGCCCACCAGATTTCATGTTTTGGTGGTCAACTGCTTGTGCACCCTGACATAGCAGGCGTTGCGTTGGGCGCCCCAAGCGGGAGCCGCCAGGGGTGAGATCATTTCAGGATTCGCGCCCAGGTTGTGTGGCTGTTTCCAGTGTTTTGCCGGTTTCTGCCCAGCTGACTCCTTTTGTGGATTTGTATGTTACCAGTCACTCACTCACTTCCTTCCTTTGTTCCCCACTCAGGCGCATTCGGTCGCATTCGTACGGCTCATCAGCACCTCTTCCTCTTTCAGACTTGCCACGCTCAAAGTCACCCATATTCAGAGTCAACCATATTCAGACTCACGCGTTCTTACTCGCTCAGATTCCAATTCACATCCACGCGCTCAAATTCATATCCGCCCACACTCAAACCCACTCACTCTCAGACTCACGCGCACTTCGAGTCGTTCGCACCCAGACTCATTCATACACAGGCCCACTCGTACTCACACCGATTGTACCCAGATTCACGCACAGTCAGGCTCAATCACACCCAGGTCCAATCACACTCCGACTCGCTCACGCTCAGATCACTCACGCTCAGATTTATTCGCACCAAGGCTCGCAAACAAGTGGCTACCGCGATACAGCCGGCGTGGCACTTGGGCAACCCAGGTGCCAGCAGGCGCCAGGAGTAGCACGCCAGAGAGCTGACGTAGCAACGCCATGCGCGCTTTACCTGAGCTGCCGCATGGAGAACGGCAAGATGAAGCCCCCGCTGATGATCCATTTGCATTTCCCGCGTCTCTCCCGAAAGATATCCAGAGGGGGAAGGCGTCGCTAAAGTCATCACTGCCGTCGTCGTCGTTGCCGCGCGTGTCCTCTACGCGGATTCGCTCTCGCACCCAGATATTTAGACAGAGCTTCGCTTCGCATCGACATGTGACAGGAGTATGGGATGCAGATTGGCGGCTTCCGCGTCGAGCAATGGACCCCCGGGGGGCTTCTCGTCGCCGCGCTGGGGTCGGTTTCGAGATTCTGACCAGGGCGCGCCCCGCAACGAGTCCGCTGTTTGACGTTCGACCCCTGGGCCCAGACCCCCCTCGCGCCGCGGGGAGATCGCGGGGCGGAGGGCTTCGGGGCTGGGCCGTCAGAGAGCGGCTCGGGTTGAAAAATGCCGCCTCGGGGAAGGGGCCCGCGCCTGCGAGGCCCCGCGGTGAAGGGGCAGCAACGTCGGAGCTCCGTGGAGAGGGCGCCTGTTCGGAGGGGCGCGTCATTCCCTTAGCTTAGAGCTCCGACGATTTCATTTCGGCACGGCGCCGCCCGCCCGATCCCGCGCGCCACCTCCCTGTCGCCCCGCCCGCCAGCCAGCGCGCTCCATCCGCTTGGATTTTCTCCGCGCGGCACCGCCCGACCCCCCCCCGCCCCCGCCGCCGCCCCGCGCGCGCGCCCACCCGCCCACCCAGCCCCCACCCCGCGCGCCCCCTCCGCATCATCCCACCCACCAGCCAACGCGCCCCGCCCGCCCCGGTTTTCTCTTTTTTGATTCCGGCGCGGCGCCGCCCCCCCCCCTCCCCCATCCCGAGCGCCCCCTCTGCATCGCCCCGCCCACTTGCCCGCGCGCCCCCCCCCCCGCCCCGACTTTTCCACTCAGGCGCGCGCCGCCCCCGCAACCCCTTCCCGCGCCACCCGGCCCACCTGCCAGCGCGCCCCCTCCGCGCCAGCTTTCCGGCGCGGCACCGCACCCCCCCCCCTATCCCGAACGCCCCCTCTCTGCGCCGCCTCGGCCGCCCCAGCCAGCGCGCCACCCCCGCCCCGATTTTTTTATATCGGCACGGCACCGCCTCCCCAATCCCGATCGCCGCCTCCATTGCCGCGTCCTTCAGCGCGCCATCTACGCCCCGAACCCTTAACTTGATTTCGGCACAGTACTGCCCCCGCCCCGCCCCGCCCCGCCCCCCCTCCGCATCCCCCCGCCCACCGGCCAGAACGCTCCATCCGCTGGCGCGGCACCGCCCCCCCCCCATCCCGCGCGCCCCCTCCGCGTCGCCCCGCCCGCTAGCTAGCGCGCCCCCACCGCCCCGACCTTTCGGCGCATCGCCGCCCCACCCCCGCCCGAACGCCCCCTCCGCGCACCCCGCCCACCAGCCAGCGCGCCACCTTCGCCCCGAACTGTTCTAATTCCGGCACGGCACCGACTCCTCTATCCCGAGCGCCACCTCCATCGCCCCGCCCACCAGCCAGCGCGCCCCTCTGCCCCCCCCGAACCTTTTTTATTTCGGCGCGGCACCGCCCCCCCATCCCGCGCGCCTCTTCAGCGCCCCCCCACTCACCACCAAGCGCGCCCACCCCGCCCCGACCCTTTGATTTTGGCACGGTACCCGCCCGCCCCGCCCTCTTTCTATAGGCCCTCTGAAGCCAGCCCCTTGTTCCAGACCCTTCACGATAGGCCCCTCGCTATGCGCACCGTCGCTCCACGACCCTA